ATATATATGGCCTGCAAAAATTTAAATTTGTCATTTCTTTATCATTTTACATTGATAAACTGATATCTAATCTATGCTTGTAGAGAATAATTCGGCTTTTTAAACGATTTATTCATCTTTCAAAATTAGCGAATGCTGTTCTTATTGTTTCTGTTTTGTTTCGTCGCGTATAGGATTATGTGTATCACGTATGTAACATTTACCAGCGCGATTTACGAACAACCGCTCGTTAATCGTGGGTTCATCTAGTTGAATGATGATCGATCAAAGAGTTCTCACGACGCACATTATGTATTCTCGCGAGCATATATGCACGTAAGTTTCTCTTGCTCGTCGAGTAATGAACAAGTTGATCTCGGATCGAGATATTGCTCTTATAAATGAATCAGGGGTGAATACCGCCGGAAGATACGAGACTTACGACATAAACGATATTAATTATTATCTCCGCCCGTCATCCTTTCGATAAGAGCTTGCAGAACGGGCATCTTTCTGCATGTTCTGCACAAAACTTAAAGCAGCTTCCGCAGGCAGATTCATTAACTGTTACCACCAGCATAAGGATTAATTAGTTCTCGAGGGATCAATAGAGCATCGTGATTTATGTTCTAAAAGAGACACGTCTTTCGAGAAGCAAATATGTAATTATTACACTCATTATATAAAGATTATTTTTTAAATGAGCAAACTAATTATTATTTTTTAATTACTAATATTCTATCGTATCAACTATCGATTTTTCATTATTCATCGGAAAGTAAAAAAATATAGCAAGATCCCGTTCACTGGTATGGCGACGCAATACTAATTTTTAGTTTTTAATCATATAGAATTTTTTTGATCGATCTGAGTTATATCTATCTATCTTCATTTTTCATTGATTATTTTTTTTAATAAAATTCAAAGTGCATACAAACGAGAGTCTAAAATAAGAGTGAAAATCCTTTTTCTTTCTTGCTTCTTCTTCTTCCTCTACATTGATTTTAATTGCTTTATTAGAATTATATCACAATAATCGAATTATATAAGCAACAAATACGTCTCTATGAAAGATGAGATCGCTTTTAAAAAGTAAACATATAACTGGAAACTTTCCAAACGATACATTCTGTCGGAAATATTGAAAATTTATGTACTTTTGTAACTCGCGACGACATTAATATTTCACACACTCCCAAGAATCGGTGATAAAATGATTAATATCGTCTTTGCTTAATGCATTGCCATATTCCTGAAATGTGAATAATTTATTTTTACTTTATGAAAATGTGATATTTTCTTCGACTAAAGAAAGAATTGTGTCTTTTGTCACAGGATTGCTTTCTGCAATAAAAAATAATAATTTTTTTTCAAAATTACTTCATTATTATTATACTTCGTAATTATTTCTCATAATTAAATTACATTTGTAAATAATAGCGCAACGCGTGTGAAATGTCTCTGGTTTGTAAAATGTTATTAAACGTACTTTGCGATATCCTATAGCAATGTATATTTACTGTGCAAACTTTGCAAACTAAGAGCACTCGCAGCACTTGGAAATACACATTCGCAGCTGCCCCATGTTATTACGTCCAGTGCGGTAAAATAAAGTACATTTGCTAAAATTCACCTCCGTCACGCAAGAGAATGACCATTGATCTTCGCTGCCTGATAAAAGTTTGAAGGATCCGCTATACTTTTCCGTTCTCGATCCGCGTAATTAGATTTTCACGAATCGATCGCTCATCGAGACTTCGTCTCTTGACGTTTCGCGGAACTATATCGAAATGTCGTTGACCCTGTGTCGTTTCTCGCATTACAGAGAAAGAAAGTAAAAGAAGCGCGTTCCGAGGACGATAGAAATCGAGCACCTACTTTACATTCGCCATTCGAAACTGGATCAGATACAGGACGATTTAGGTAAATGTCTCGACTGAATCCGACCCACGCTTTCTTGGATAACGCTCAGACTTTACGTTGTCCCGCGTGCGTTTTCCATCGTCCTTTTATTTTACGGATTTATCCGGCACGTGGTAAAGCCTTCTTCTTGAGCGTAACTGCGGATCACTTATGCATACGCGTATGTTATAGATATTTATCGCACGGTTTTACAAACGGATATTATTTATAGATACAAAAAAAAAGGATATTAATTTTTTCGTGTTGCAATTGCCGCAAAAATTGAGAATAATTTGCGAGCGATAATATTTCTCTTTGCATTTCTAGCAACAAATATAATATGCAATAAACTTGCATAGAATTAAGTAGACGTTAAGCGTATGTAAAGTTATCGATTGCGGAATGGAAAGTATGAAGGTGCCTTCTCAAGATTCGAACGATAGATTTTATGAAGTGAATTATGACATTTGTAGGAAGTACAACGTACAATTATCGCCTTGGGCAATTTGACTGTTTCATTGTGCCCTTTCTATCCACTACTTTATATCAACCACTCGAATCGATGGCGTCAGCCTAAAAATATTCGTATGCTCGAGGCTGTTATATGTACGAGCGGTGTTGATATGCATTTAATTTATATAACAATTGTTTTAGTTGCTTCGAGATAATGTTTTCGTAAAAGAATAATCTTGTATAGATGAGATTCTATCCTCCAATATTAACATAAAAATAAATCAGTCTTTATGGATTTAAAAAAATCAATTAATGTATAGGTGCTTCTTTTTGACATATAATTACGCTATCAGATGCCTCCTTCCGTCGTGATACTCTATCCAAATTCAAATTTGTTCTCTATCCACAGTATATATTCCCAACAGTTGCCACTTTTCTTCTCTCCGGAGAGCAGGTGAGATGGTAGCACGCGACATAGAGGATGAAAAAAAAAGGAAAAAGAAGCGAGCACCTTCATCCGGCGCAGCCGGGCGGAAAATAGCTAATATTCTAAGGCATCGGCGACATCGCGAGCAAGATGGGGCCTTTAACTGGCGCGACTCGTGTATATGTATTTATGTATATATACTCGGGATTGCAAGATGTTCCCCTCCCGCGCTTTCCTCTGCGCGGTCGCTTATGTTCGTGAAAGCTCCAAAAACTACCAACGATAAAAGAACGGCAATCCCGCTCGCGAAAGCGCGTTCTGACATTTCAATCTGATTCAAGTCCGCGAAATAAGGAAAGAAGTGCATCAGCATCTCTCTTTCTGTAGTCGTGTCGCCGCCTACAAATAGATCCGGGTGAGAGCACAAAAGAGTCCTGATTAACTTTTGTTCAGCAAACCTTAAAATCCTCTCATCTCGCAACAGAATATGAATATAATGTGACGGAATTAATTAAAGATATAACGTAGAAATAAAACGTTTCCAAAAATTAGTATACCGTATATTTTTCACTCAATTGAAATTATTATTAATGTACGTATTTTATAAACAATCTATAAAATAAAATATTGTTTTATTAAATTAAAATTTTGTTTAATTAAATTATTTAATCGTAATTATAAGAAATAATAATGTTAGTAGAGATTGATTTATATCAGCCTCGGCTATTAGCCAATCAATAACATGTATAAATAATAAAATGCTGCCGGTCATAGTAGACACATAATTTAAGAAGAAGACGCAATAACGCGCGTATAAACGAAGTTATAAACTTGGTTAACTGCTGGTAAGCTCGTTTCATGGTTCGTTAAAGGATTATGTTGACATAATTCACTATATAAATATCGCGGCACACAATCTGATCTTTCATCTCCTTTTTAATAAAAAATTTAATGAGTTTTCTCATAAATGAATCTCGGATATCCCGTTTTTTCTTTCTGTTAAAATATAATTTTAAAATAAATCTTATATAAAGAATTTTTTCTCTTTAAATAAAATAAAATTAATTTGTTGGCGTTTTCCAAAATATTAAATAATTAATTTTATTAATAGTAAAACGTATATTATTTTCCATGAAATTATCCGTAATAATGTTAAATGAAAAGAAACATGCTTGCTCCATGATAAGGAAAATACGTATCACAACAGTCTTTTTATTACTGTATTCAACACTGTATTTATGATTTGATATTCCTGTATTGTTGGAGCATGTCATCAATTAAGCAATATAGACAAGTTGAAATGATCGAATAAAGAAGTCTTTATATTGTTGTATATTTTGTACTTTATCTTACATTGCTATTATTTTCGTTAGAAATTAAAGTCTGTCTTGTATGCATACAAGATGACAGAGACAGGTTCGTTTTCATTTCTGCTTCACAAATAAATTTTGCTCCATGATAAAATATTTTTAACATGATGAAGTACAAAACCATAAATCTGTCCGCATTTGAAGATCGATTAACGGCAACGAATATATTTCTCTCAATTTACAGTATCTTATATACTCACGTACACTCGTGAAATTTTGTACAAGTAACTGTTATTGTAAAAACGACGAACGACTCTGACATCTGTAGAAATAAAGTTTGTCTGCCACAGTTAAAAAAGTATCGTCTGTCCAAGTGACAACATGATCGATAACATTTTTAAGAAAAACGAATTTTATGAAATGACGGAAATACCTGTGTTTTCACAATTGCAATATGGAGTAAGGTATAAAATGGTCGAGTTATCTTTTGCAATCGTCAGTATTCCCAAGTATAAGGAAACATGAAGATTACTATCATTTTGCTGGCAATTACCGTATCCTGTGCAGTCGCTTTTCCTAGCGGTTTGAGCGACCTTGTAGGTAGTGTACCTATTCTACGTGGTATATTTGGTGGCGGCGATCAGAAGAATCACGGCAATAATTGTAATCATGGCAAAGGTGGTATCGACAAGCATAATTCACAGGTATGTATGTTTAAACAGTTCTTTCTATCGCATTCACAAATAGAATAAATAATGATAATATATGCATGTCTAATGCAAATTATATAATATATATAATATATATAATATATTCCATAACACTTATAGTCTTGAATATTTAAAAAAAAAACACAAAAAAATGTTATCTTAAATCTTAAACGTTTACAAAAAATCAGACATTTACTATTATTGTATGAAATTGTAGATAGGAGCTATTTGGAGTGGAGGAGCAAGAGGCCATGGAGGAGGAACTAATGGATATAGTGGAGGAGGTAATAATGGAGCAGGAAATACTGAAGGAGGTGGTAATGGAGCAGGATGTACTGGAAGAAATGATAACAAAGTAGGAAATGCTGGAGCAGGAAGTACCGGGGCAGGAAATGCTGGTGGTTCAGGTAAAACAATTAGCAATACCATATTGAATGCAAATGGCATTGCTTCGAACATAATTAAAACTTGGTCCGGCAAAAATGGAGCATTAACAAGTGCTGCTTCTTCGGCTATCGCGAAAGGTGGTGCGGGGAAGGCTGGCTCCAGCGCGGCAGCGACTGCAAATGCTGCAGCATCGTCAGTATCACGCAGTAATTCCGGTGGTAAAAAATCAACGGACGACAACGATGACGATACAAAATCAGGAAAGAATAATGATAGTAACGGAAAATCCGAATCTTCAGCGAACGCTCAAGGAAACGCCGCGGCGGAATCGGAAAGCAATGGTAGAGGAAGAAACAGTAAGTCCAATGCAGCAGCGAATGCAAATGCTAATGCCGCAGCGGAATCACGAAACAAAAACCACGGTAAAGGATCGGACAATTCAGAAGGAGATGCGGAAGAAGACGGATCAAAGGATGCTGGAAAAGGAAAATCGAATGCGTCAGCGAAAGCAGGGAGCAACGCTGAGTCAAACAGCAACGATAATAAAGGTTCGTCAAGCGCGTCCGCGGACGCAAACGCGAACGCATCTTCGAAATCAGGTAAGAATGGTAAATTCGGAGAGAATTCCTCGGGAGCTTCCGCGAATGCAAACGCTGACGCATCTGCGGAATCGGGCAAGAAGGATAAATCTGGAAATGGTTCATCGAAAGCATTGGCAGATGCTGACGCATCTGCCGATTCGGACGGGGAAAATGGTTCCGGAAAGAGTTCATCATCAGCAAACGCGGATGCCGAAGCATCCGCTAACTCCAAGGGCAAAGGAAAAGGATCGTCGAATGCATCGGCCGATGCAAACGCCGAGGCATCTACGAAGTCGGGCAAGAAGGGTAAATCCGGGAAGGGTTCGTCAAACGCGTCGGCGAGCGCGGAAGCTGAGACATCAGCTGAATCGGAAGGTAAAAGTGGATCGGGAAAGGGTTCATCAAAAACATCGGCAAACGCAAACGCAAATGCTGAAGCATCCGCGCAGTCAAAGAAGAATGGTAAATCCGGAAAAGATTCGTCAAATGCGTCAGCGGACGCAGACGCCGAAGCGTCCGCAAAATCGGGGGGCAAAGATAAATCCGTAAAGAATTCATCGAAGACATCGGCGAACGCAAACTCTGAGGCGTCTGCAGGATCGGACGGAAAAAATGGCTCCGGAAAAGGTTCGTCAAATGCATCAGCGAGTGGAGATGCCGAAGCATCCGCTGACTCGGAGAAGAAGGGTAAAGGATCCGGAAAAGGATCGTCGGATGCATCGGCCAATGCAGACGCAAATGCTGCTGCGGAATCAGAGAGCGACGATAAATCCGGGAAAGGATCATCGAGTGCGTCAGCTAACGCGAACGCTTCTGCGAAATCCGAAGGAAAAGGAAAATCCGGAGGAAAGGGAAAATCTGGAGCTTCGTCGGACGCTTCAGCGGCTGCGAGCGCTAACGCATCTGCGGAATCCGCAGGCAAAAATGAAGGAAAGAGCACCTCGAGTGCCTCGTCCAACGCCAAATCCTCTGCATCTGGCTCGAAAGATGACGATTCTAATGATACAGCAGCGAGCGCGTTAGCGAATGCGAATTCTGCAGTATCCGCAATAGGAGATAAAGTTAGTGCACTTGCGGGAAGTGCTGCGAATGCAAAAACAGGTTTCATAAAGTAATCAAAATAATTGTGTATACGGAAACAGATATTCAAATTTGAAGATAAATCAATGATGTTTCTGCAATATATATGTACCTCAAAATATAATTAGATAAAATTGTTGCGAATTTAGTGATATTTATCTCGTTATTATTTGATCACTTAAAATAATGAAAATATAACGTTTCGTTCAAAACAATTTTACTTATTTAATATATTATATGTATATTATGAAAAAGCTTTTTGTGTGTAACAAAATATATTCTATATTAATATAGAAATATAGAATATAGAATATTAATATAAATATTTTTGAAAGTCGTTCTCCAATCAATAGAGCAAAACATTTAAAATAAAATTAATTTAATTTATAACTACATATTTTTTTCTACATATAATATTTTTTTTGCTGTAATGTGCGTAATTATATATTTTAAATTAGATTTATTTCATCATGAGTTATTTATTTATAAAATGTAAACTAATACTAACTATGTATATTCTATTGATATGAGATATTTAATAAGTGATATTTTCAGAACTATTTATTATCGACTTTAATATAAACAGCGAACATCTTAGCTGTGACACCTATTTATTAGGTGTAACAGCAAACATCTTAGCTGTGATACCTATTTATTAAGTGGAACAGCAAACCGTTTTGCTGCAGTTTAGAAATTTATTTTGCAAACCATGATTAGCTATGGTAGCGAAAATTTTTTTTTCCGTGTATATTATGGAAAAGCTTTTTGTGTGTAACAAAATATATTCTATATTAATATAGAAATATAGAATATAGAATATTAATATAAATATTTTTGAAAGTCGTTCTCCAATCAATAGAGCAAAACATTTAAAATAAAATTAATTTAATTTATAACTACATATTTTTTTCTACATATAATATTTTTTTTGCTGTAATGTGCGTAATTATATATTTTAAATTAGATTTATTTCATCATGAGTTATTTATTTATAAAATGTAAACTAATACTAACTATGTATATTCTATTGATATGAGATATTTAATAAGTGATATTTTCAGAACTATTTATTATCGACTTTAATATAAAAAATTAAGTGATAATGTATGAACAAATTTTGTCACTGTATAATACAGGAAATTATTCACGCTTTAATTATGTCGCTTTAATAATGATCGTATTGTCAAAATTTGCTTATAATAATATAGTAAAAAACAACAGATTTAATAAACACCACATCAATGCAATCAATAATTACACCCGCATATCATAAATCGCTTACTCTCTATATATATATTACAATATATATTCTCACAAAAAAAAAATTATTTCTATTTAAAAAATATAATTATGCATTACATGATATATTGTATTTTGAAAATTGTACATCATGCTATTAGCAAAGTAATCTGTATAGTGTTCGACATATTTGCGAGTTATGGTAACCAAGTTCCAAGAACAAATTTTAGGCTTACAGCCAGATCGGCAGGTAAGGTAATGGCGTTATGCCGAGTTTACTCTCGTACTTTAGAGTTCTGTAATTCGCAATTGAGACATCGGAATACTAGTAGCTTATTCCCTAAAGTGCTCGTGTCTCATCTACTGGATACACTGAGTTTACTCTTGTACTTTGGAAATCCATGAATTTGTGATATGGTCAATGGAACGGTACTGTCTGGAACACTGGCAAAGTTTAGATTATTACCATAACTTTTACATCATAAAATAAAATACGGAATACACGTTTGCCAATAGTAAAATGTATATATTCAGCATGATTTAACAGTTTTATCCAAAATTTAATTTTATCTTTCAAAATCAATAATCTCGATAGGAATTACAATAACTTTTATCGTATAATACATATCATATAATATAATACATACTATATATAATAAACTTTAATAAATACAGTTTCTAATGATGTTACACAACTTTCATATATGTTTGGATACGTGATGTTACCACCAGAATCCTGTTGCATACCAATGTATACGATTTATATATAGACATCTGGTGAATGAGCCCGATGCATCCGCTTGTACTGAAACGACATCAAGAACGACGGGGGAGAGAAAAGGACGGGCACAGGTATGGAAAAATGGGTTGAGGAAGAAGCGGAAGTTGGGCATTTTCTGACGAGTTGCGTCGCAAGCATAATGCCATTATACTTGCCTCACCCATACGTTAAAACTTCCGTGCGTGCAATATATTCACCGATATTTCTCGAAGCGGGAGATATGCGCGTTCGTAGGTAAATCCAATATCGCTGACATACATCGTGTATGTGTGTGTGTGTCTCGGCGCATATTGCTATGCTTTAAAAAGCATCGTGAGCGGTCGGCGCCAAATCGTATCTCCTTCATTCCTTGTTGGCCCTTGTACACGTCAGATGAGTATGGAGAACAGGGTAACATGGTGACGAGAGAAGCCTGTCCGCGGCCAAGCACACGTGGGGCAGATTGTTCTCTCTCTCTTTCCCACTCCCCTTTTCTCTCTTTCTGTCTTTCTCCCAATATGACCGCTTTACTAAAACGAGCTCATTCAGTGAATGTCCGCTTTCAGACTATAACATCATCATGATGTAAAGAACTTAATAGAACGGCCGGTCAATGTATCTGTGTTACTGGCAGAGATAATTTTAATAGAACATTGCGGCGAAATACACGTGATTTCAATACGGAACGTATGTATTCACTCAGAACAGAAGACAGGCTTTAAATTTTAAAATTATCAGCAATTAAAAAAAATATTTATCTAAAATCTTTTATATTTTCAAAATATATAAATGCAATTGAAATAAGACAATTTTAATTATTGTTAATCGAAGTATTAGCAACGTGCTGGCGTATCGTTATAAACGGGCGCTAAATTTTGACATAAAGAACGTCAATGCATTCTCGCAGTGTTCATATCATGCGTGTCGATTGTCAGAATGTTAAATGATACAAAGTGCTATCGTAGACAATCCTTATCAGCTCCCAACATCACACACACTCTATATAGGAAGCACTCTGCGGTGATGTCCAATTACGTTTCACCGGATATAAATCATCGGAAACATTGCGCTCACCGACGTTTGTTAGACACATATATTTATAGCGCTTAGTACACACTGATAGCTTTACAACGAGATACATATTTATAAGCTGTCGGACGTTAACATGTTTGCATGTTTCTTTATACACCTAGTACATTGCGTTAAAAATAGATGTACCTGAAAAATAGTCAATTAATAGTCATATAACATACTTTAACTGTTTCAAAATTTTCATTTTATGCTACCTCATATCCCAAAATTTCTCTGAAAAGGTAAATCACACACATACACACACACACACTTTATAACTATTTAAATATAATATTTTAAAATTTTTAATGTTAATTTTTTTAATCTATCAAAAAAAAGAATTTATTATGCATGTACAACTGTTTAAATATAATATATTAAATCTTAATCTTTTCTAATCTATCATCGGTTTAGTTTCGAAGTTATAATTTTAATCCTTGCTTAAGCGAAAAAAGATCAAGTTAGAGCTTCAAAAGTGCGGATTTAAAGTGAAATATACATGTAACGAAGGTGAATTGTTCACGTAACGATCGACCAATATTATGCACCACAATGAGGGTACGCTTTTTTTTCGTATCCATCAGGCGTCGATTGGTTTAAATCACGATCCATCGCGACTCGCTAACGTGCGGCCGCGCATGGTCATCGCGGCGTCGGCAAATTACAGACTTCGTTAGAATCCCCGTTATCTCGATACCTCATCTCACTGCAGGAATTATAAAAACAATTCAGATTTATACCTTACGGCTTATCATGCCGGAGAAAGTTATCTACGTGCGCACGGCACGAGTGCGGCCCAAGCGCCGTTACTTGGTTCGTTCGTTCGTTCGTTCGCTGGTTCGTCCATTGCAGAGACGAGGCCCGATAAATCTCGGCGAAGAATGGTTTTGTTTCCACTAAAGATTACAGACACTCGATAAAAAGTCATTGTACGAGAGAAAATCGAGGGAGTCCCGATTATCGTGAGAATGAAATTGTGCGCGCATCTCTCCGTAATAGTAGTTACTTTGGCCGTCGACGTCTATGATTTCTCATTGAACCGTATATTAAGGATAATGCCGACAGTGATTGAAATCACATTGAATAAGAGGAAAAGTTACACGACCCCCCGATCGGAGGGAGTTGATGCAATAATACACGGAAAATTTCTCTTCTCTTTTTATACAAGCAGATAATGGCAGCGTATTTGATTTTGACGCGCCCAAGTTTGTTTTTCGTCTTTATTCTTGCAAATAGATTTAAATTCAACACAGCATCTCTTTATCTCAGATTCCGATAACCGTGAATTTTTTTACTAACAGTAAGCGACAAGATTTGCCAATATATACCAGGGCTAGAAATTAATACATTACATGTAACACCGTTATCATTATAGTTATTTTTTTCGATAACTTAACGAGAATATCGAACGATATGGTTATCCACTACAGTAGAAAAGACTACATTAAATAATTAAAACCAAACTACAATTTTAACAAGTTTAATTTCTGATTCTTTTTAATGATTATTTTTTAATATAAACTGATTTTTTGAAATCAATAATAAATAACAATAATAAACTACTTTTTTCAGAAAAAAAAATACAGAAACTTTTAAAAAGGGCGAGTTATTTTTGTAAAGTAACTTTTCAACCTTGGTATATACTCGTTATAGTGTTGTGTTAATATGCGAGGCACCGCTTGATGATCAGTCGAGTGAGAAAAAGATGTGTGGAGAAAAGAGGGAAACGGAATTAAAGAGAAATCCGGCGAACAAACGGAGAGCGGATAGTTTAATAATTTATTTAAGCCCTGCAAACCGTGTGTAATCTCCGAGATATTCATCCGAGACTGATCGCAGACGTAGTCGCAACCGTGCCTCTTCGGAATCGCGGCAATTATAACTGTATGCGCCGCAACGAGTGGATACTCGGGTATAAAATACTTGCTCGTATACGTTTGCGAACGTGCTGTTACGAGAGGCACC